ATGACGGACAAGTCAAATTTTACGAGGATTGGAACGTCTATGGTGAAGAATATCGGCAATCCAACGGAATAAATTACATTATTAATAAAAATTATAAATAAAACATACTTAAGTCTGTTGGACACGAAACGTGTGCTGACAATGGAAAAATGTTGAATACGACGAGACCACGAGACTATGAAATTCGTAACTTCGATAAGTGAAAAGTGTACAGGCCACGACGTTCGGTGGCGCAAAAAAAAAGATATAGGTTAAAAAAATAAAAGCGACCACTCAACCACTGTGACATCTGTAACCGTATCATGGAGGAGAGTGACGAGTACGCACGGCCCGTCATCTCATTGGCTTATGACATTCCTCCATGCTGTTTGAGGTTATAAACACACGAAAACATCGTTCTTCTTTCACTCGCTTATGAGAGAGACGATCTGAAGTCTCCGTCTCTGATTTCCCGTGTGGCGTTCTCTATATTTCGTTTTCGCGTCGCGCTAGGGTCAACTCAAGAAAATGAGGTAAGTTCACCTTCGATTTTTCCTTTAACACTATAGTTAAATAGTTATACATAGCTATAGTTCATACATTATTTGCTGTAGTAAGTCGACCAYTGTCTTATGTCGTTCGTCAACTGCTRTGGTCATGACTCGTAACTCGCGCCACATGTGTGTGATCTTCGCTTGTCGCCGTACCACAATTCGCGTTAGTTGTCATTTATGACGAGTCCCTTAATATGTGACTAGCGATCTTAGAGAGTGTCTATATACCATATTATTGTTCACGGCAACAATGGGTTGAAAGATCTAACCCTCCTCCCTCGACCCTCTCGATAAAGCTGTACATTTTTAGTCAATGGGTGACAAGTTATTATCACAAGAACTCTAACCATTAAAAATCACCACTTGTTACAAGAGTATAGACCTAGGCATCTGTAACAGTACACTTRCTGATATGTCCAATGATGCTCCTTAGTCATGCGTTCACCCTGGTTTAAATTTTAGTTCAACATTTTCAGTATCCAATGTTTTTTATCACATAATTTATTTACTTGTGTATCTATATCATRCTAGAATGTATTATTACATTTTATTCTTATCTTTACAGTTCGTTGAAGCTTCAAAAAAGGCTTGCCGCTTCGGTAATGCGATGCGGTAAGAAGAAGGTGTGGTTGGATCCAAACGAAATAAATGAAATTGCCAATACCAATTCCAGTCAGTAATTTTRAATCAAAATCATATAATAAATAAATATAGCAATATTTGTTAAATAAATTCTAGGACAAAATATTCGTAAATTGATCAAAGATGGTTTGATCATTAAAAAGCCGGTAGCTGTACATTCTAGAGCTCGTGCACGTAAAAATGCAGAAGCCAGAAGAAAAGGTCGTCATTGTGGTTTTGGTAAAAGAAAGGGAACTGCTAATGCTCGAACACCTCAAAAAGTATGAACTATATTTCTTATTTTTATAATTTACTTTCACTTATCTCATTGTCATTTTCATAGGACCTTTGGGTGAAAAGAATGCGAGTATTAAGGCGGTTACTAAAGAAATATCGTGAAGCCAAGAAAATTGACAACCATCTTTACCATCAGTTATACATGAAGGCTAAGGGTAATGTTTTCAAAAATAAACGTGTATTGATGGARTTCATTCACAAAAAGAAGGCAGAGAAGGCCCGCGCCAAAATGTTGAGGTATTATAATACTTATAATAATCCTTAACGCATATATTATTGTTTCATATTTTATTTTTTAGTGATCAAGCTGAAGCTAGACGTCAAAAGGTTAAGGAAGCTAGAAAACGTAAGGAAGCAAGATTTTTACAAAATAGGAAGGAACTTTTGGCTGCATACGCACGAGAAGATGAGAAGGCTGCTGCTGCTGCGGGAAAGAAGTAACCTGTTTTGTAAATGTTTTTATTTTCTAATACAATATTTCTGACCTATTGGAGAATTTAACATCTTTTTTTTTCTTGTATACCTTGATGTATCCTTTATACATTATATAAAATGTAATATTTTATTACCATAGGTTTGTTTTTATCTTTTTAGCCAAAAGTATTAATCATAGGGTGATTATTCTTATTTTAACTAAAACTGTCCACTTTTTAAAATAAAATAACTTAAATTGTTTGATATTTTCCTATAAAAACACTGTTTATGAAGTAATTATTATATTATATTATTAAAAGTAATCATTTCTCTTTTACTTATATGTTTATGAGTGTCAACATTGTGAAATAACATGTGGTGTTTCTACTATTAAAAATTGTTGATATACATTCACAACATGAAATCAGTAAACGTATAAAGTATATATTGATAAATTTAATAGAAAGTAATTCATCAAGTTAATTCAAATAAAATTGAACTAAAGGTAGTTTAAGATATATAGCAGAGTAATACTCTATGAGTATAGATACATTTTTAAAAAACAGTGCTACTTAATATATTAATTAATATAAATGATCTGCTCCTGAATATACAATTATAATTGTATGGACATTCTTATTTCATAAAAATATCAGCTAGGTTGGTAAATTATAGTAAAAATTAAATCCTTAGGCTGTAGTTATGGAAGGATTGTTTGTCTAAGTAAAAAAGCGTTAGGTAGATAGTTGACATGGGTTTAAGATTTAAAAAAAAACACCAGACATTTTTTCAGATTAAAGATAAATAGAAGTGTGAATCAAACATTGATGTATAGTTTCTTATATTGTAAGTATGAACTATAGAATAATTATTTTAAAACAGAATATTTATAATTTTAAATTTTTTAGATATAATATTATGTAGTCCTAAATTCTTACATTTATTACCACTGTATCTATTATTTTTACTAATATATTATTGTCCATGTTAACTTTAAAGCAACAAACAGTATTTATTTTTAAAATCAAAATTGTTGATTAATGCTAAATTAATAGTTTTAGTTTATTTTAAAATCATTCAAAATTTAGAATTAGTATGGGGATAACATTTTGCTTCTTTACTCATATCCAAGACTTAATACAATTTTAATATGTTTTAAATTATTTGAGTTAATTAAACTCAAAAACAATAATTTTTTTGAATAAGATTTGATAATCTATAAGTAAGGTTCACATCATTCTTGGTAATAGTAAATCTGATATCTATTRTAAATTATAAATTACAAGTTATAATCATTATTTTATCCACTTGTTTTTGACTTATTAATTATTTTATCAGTTATCACATCCATGTTATTTGATCCAACCATAAATTAGTGTCAATGAATGATTCAATTCAGTTTTATTCTGATCTCCCCCCACCAATGGAAAGGTTATATTTAACTAGTTAAGGATTTAATGCCCAAAATACCYTGCGTTTTAAATGAAATATTTTTAAACAGTAAACCTAACTATGCACGTAGATTATTCTTACATTTTCATATTTTTTAAGCTTTTTTCATTGAAACTTACAACATATTTCTAGACAAAATTTGGTAAATTTTATCAGCATTGGCCCTTTTATTTTTGGCTATTGCCTGGTTTAGTATAAATTAAATACACATTTTGGAAAACTGAAAAGTGAAACATTACTTCATATTTATTAATTATATATTCAATTTATTGCTAGTTTTATCACAGATTATAATATGTAGTGTGTATTTTTATTAAGCTATAAAAATATAATATAAACATTCAATTTATAATTTAAATACATTTTTCTTAATTTATTAAAAAATACAAATATTTTTATTAATATCTACCTAACCAAGGTTATTTTAAACATTACAAATATACGTTACAATACTTGTAATAATATATGTTAGAGTATCACAAGTTAACATTTTTAGAATCAAGTTAGTATTAAACAAATATAGCAAACTAATGTCCATTCCTTTTTTAGGATTTTTGTATATAGTTGATTTAAGGAGATTATAATATCCTTATAGCTGTAAGTAACTGCTTATATTTATACATCATACATTTTTGTTATTTTTTGATAAATTAGAAATGTAAATTATTCTCTCATATATTTTTATGAAATATTTCAGAACACAGTAATAACTTTAATCATCCACATAAAATGATCAAGAACTTTTCCCTTCTAACTAATAACTATGATCCACTGCTAGATTTAACAATCTACCTTTCTTTTAAAACTTACCTCTCAATAGATCTAAGAATGTATTACCTGTTGTATATGATAATCAGAGTTCAATACAAAATRCTGTAACACTGGCTGGGTAATAATCAGGGACGGAGCGAGGGGGGCAATCGGGGCAGTTGCCCTGGGCCCCGCGATTTTAAAATTATAATCAATAYCCCGCAGTTCTTAAATKATATTTTATACTGTTCAGAGATTAGTTAGTTTGGATAATATGTAATGTGACTGTTATTTATTTTGCCCGGGGCTCCGCAAATCCTAGCGCCGTTCCTGGTAATAATATTTCAAATTCAATATATACTTTAAATCCAATCCTATCCTAATTAACATCTAACAAATGTTTTTGTACACCACCCTGCAGACCTGACATAATATTACAAAAAACACTTAACATTTTCAGTTTTGCTTTAGCACTATAATTATATATTTTGATACAATTGACTACATTTTTAAATTAAAAAAAAAATTGTTTTTGTTTTATTCATTTTATTTTATTACAACAATTTTATACATGCTTATTAACACATAAAAATAACATATCAGTTACCTACTCTAGATTATCTACGCCTTTTCACTCTTATCAGAAATTTCTTTGTCTAGCCGTTCTTTAGCTCTGTATATTTTTGACTGCAAGTAAAATGAACCACCTACAGATTTGTCATTTATTTTGAATAAATACTCGTATCGTTTCTGGATTTCATCTTGTGTCATATCTAAAAAATACATAAATATAAATAACTAACTTTTTGGTAATAAACAAATAATTTTGAGTTTAAAATTAAATATATTTATAGTAACTAGGTAGGTGTGGGGTGAATGGTAATTTCAGAGGCAATTGCCTCCAAGATTTTCATTAAATAGAAGAATGGGTTGTGGCCAGTAGGTCCTCTAGTAAATGTATTTTGAATTATGATATACTCAATAGGTATTCAATAATGATTTGAAATATCATTAGATATATTTGTAACTTGCCTCTGTAAAATGTTCCGTTTCCTATGCCACTGYAACTGGGTATTGGGTAAAGTTAACACCTAATTGTTTATGGTTGAGTAATATATTATTATATAAAGTAAATACTATTTTAACTCGAATCTTAATATTTTATTACTTTTAAGTTTTGGATGAGTATTATGATTGAGTGTTTTCAAGTAGGCGGTAATGTCAATGAATGACATTGAACTGGCTAAACAAAACATGTGACACAACATGACATAACATTTCATAATCATACCCCTCTACCAAAACTATAAATTCTCCTTACAATTCTACTAGGTAGAATATAAGATAGGTAATCAAAGTTGAAAGTATTTAGTATTGGTGTTATAAATGCTAGCAAAATTAATAATATATTTTAGGGTAAGTGCTGAGAATCATATTGATTGGTTGGGTCAAGATTTGTTATTTTTACCTATAAATCTATTTTCAAGATCTGATCTGAAAATATTAGATTTGTTGATGTTAGATTGTCAGAATTAGTTAAAAAATAGTTTTGGGTGATGTAGAGGAGATAATACATTTTTTAAAGATATCTATTGTAGCTTTCCATAAAGAACTGTCATTATTAGTTAGTATTAGTACGATTTGGATTTTTCAGTCAAAAGTATATGTGCCTACTGTAAAAATGACACTTTATTATTAGGTGCTAGATGAACACCAACTGTTAAACCTAACTGTTCCTTGTTATTTATTCCTTTGAGAATATTAAATTAACTTTGTTTACTATCCCAGGCAAACGGATTGTCTAGAGTCTTAGWCTAATCGACTATCACTGCAGAAGTGATCTGTCGACCGTGTTTTGGGCTACGGTAAAAATCGCACTTTTGTCGCACGATGAACCCAAACTCGCAAACGAAGGAGCGTACCTTTGACGTTTAATATCTGTTTGGCCTCCTCCAACGTGATGCCAGCCTTGGCATTAGCAGCAGCGTGCGCTGCGCCGGCACGTCCTCCACCGGCCCTGCGAGCTGCCTCCTGGCTTGCGGCGTATTCTTGTTTGAGAGCTTTGGTCAGSGCCTTGCCGACTATTTGAGAACCGATGATTATTATTTGCACAATATACTTGGCCATGGTTCGAACGACGTCCCGGTCCCACAAAAGTCAGAACTGCGGTCTATCGCTATCACCATAGTAGATAAAATATATATTATTAAATATGTTATCTACGGTTATCAGATATAGATAACAGCTCTTATCGGTATTGGGAGATTTRAAGCCGGTTGCCGCCATTTTTTAAAAGGGTGGCTTAACATTAATAACATACGTAGTACAATTTCATATGATTATAATATATAATACATATTATTTTAGATAGGAATACGTATTCATAATTATTTACTTTAAAACATAATATGATCTATAAACTACTATCTTCTATACCCTACATATTTTACCAAATAAGTAGATCCCTTACTTAGCTATACTTACCGAAAAAAATTATCACTAATGATGAGTAGTTAGTGATTGTTTTTCTTCTTGTTATAAAATTGTGAAGGTAAGTTGCAACAATTATATGTAAAAAAAAACTTATTTAAAAAAAATAAAATGATTGTAATACTGAAATATTTCATTTAATGTTTCACAATTTTAAATTTCATTAAATTTTCAAACACTACATAATACATATTATATTATCATACACTACAAATATTGTTTCAATAATATTAAAATACATATAACATTACAATTATAATGATAATATAGCAAGTTTGCTCGTTTTCGCATTGAAC